ATGAGCCACCGCGCCCGGCATTTTTTTGTATTTTTAGTAGAGACAGGGTTTCACCATGCTCGCCAGGCTGGTTTCGAACTCCTGACCGCAGGTGATCCATCCACCTTGGCCTCCCAAAGTGCTAGAATTACAGGCGTGAGCCACTGTGCCTGGCCAAGTTTAACATTTTTTATTTTAATGTGTATTTAGGATTTTTTAGTTTAAGGCAAAAAAAAAAAAAAAAGACTAAGCACAACAAAAGATTCAGATAATTCAAAGATGGATGAATAAAATTATATAAACTGACGCACAGAGAGAAAACATGTAGAATAAAAGAAAGAATAAAGCATAAGAGAAATGGAGGACAATATCAAAGGAATAGCATATGTATAATCATTAGAGTCTCAAAAGGTGAGAAGGAAGCAAAATAAATCTTTGAAGAGATGACAGAGAATTTCCCCAAATCGATGAAAGTCATTAATGTACATTTCAAGAAACTGAGTGAATCTCAACCAAGAAAAATACAAAGAAAACTACACATAGGCACACCATGGTCAAATTGAAGAAAACCAAAGTTAAAAGAGAAAAAAATCCTAAAAGCAACCAGAGAGGTCCCAGTTTTGAGGAGGTACTACGTATACTCTCCCATCTCTCTCCCACAGAAGGCAGCTATAAAACCTGATCAGGATGCATGAAGCAGCTACTTCAAGACCCTGAAAAGTAAATAATAACAGGTGGATTTGGGGAGAAGATGTAAATTTGAAGTACCATTAAACCTGGTGACCATTTAAAAAAAATAAGAGACAGGATTCTCACTATGTTGTCCACGCTGGTCTTGAACTCCTAGCCTCAAGCAATCCTCCCACCTCAGCCTCCCGAGTAACTGGGACTACAGGCCTGTGCCAGCACACCCAGCTCCATTTTTTTCACTCTAGTAGTCTGCAGGCTGGACTCAAGGTAGCCCAAAACTTGGAAGGAGCTGAGCACAGACAGAGAGCTAGAGGAGAAGTCCCTCTAGTTCAGGCTCAGGGAGTAGAAAAGGAGTTTCCTGGTAGCAATGGAGATGACAATAAGAGCCAATATGCCCCTAAAACTGACAGATGAACCCTTCTCTCCAATTGGAAATAAAATAACAAAGCATGGGCTGGGCGCGGTGGTTCACGCCTGTAATCCCAACACTTTGGGAGGCCGAGGTGGGTAGATCACTTGAGATCAGGAGTGCAAGATCAGCTTGGCCAAAACGGTGAAGCCCTGTCTCTACTAAAATACAAAAATTAGTGGGCCGGGCGCGGTGGCTCAAGCCTGCAATCCCAGCACTTTGGGAGGCCGAGACGGG